AAATTATATTAGGCATAAAAAGTATAAAAATAAGATGACGATATAAAAATAGGGCAATCAAGAAGGATAGGCACTGCACACTAAAAAGACTATCTACCTTGAGAGTGTCACGAAACAAAAGAGTGATCACGCAGGAGGTTGGCAGTTACGACGCATAATCGACGGATCAACCTGTATCATTGTTAAACTTGAGCCAAATATACATGTCTCTTTTGAGGAGAAACCATTCTCCCACGTAGTATGGCGTAGACAGAACAGAAGCAACAGACTTGCCGTATTTCACCGTAACAATATAAAATGTCACAGAAATTACTATTATCACTAGCTACAAAGTGCTGCTACTATTTTTGCTATACAAATTGCTATTAAATTACTGTTATCAAATATAATATTTAATATTAAGGAATATTATAATATTAAAATTAATAAAGAATGTTTTATTAAATATAAAAAAATCAGACAACAATAAATTTTTCTTTATAAATCCTAATATTATAATGCTTTCTAATATTAAATATTATAAAAAGTTTATTTAATAAATAATAGAACATTGGATATAGTGAATATATATTAACATTCTAATATTAGTCATATAATAATTTTTCTATTATATCAATAAAAATCATAAAAAATATCTTAGTATTAAAATAATTTTTTGTAACATAATATAAAATAAAAATTTAAAATAAAAATATTAAATATAACAATGATTAATACTATAAATTTTTAAAATATTGAATTTAATATATAGTAATATGATTGTCCTGTCAACTAAAATTAAAATAAAATTTATTTTTATAATTTCTTATTTAAAAAATAATAATTTTAAATAAAATAAAGTTAGTTTGTTAATATATATTCATAATAGTATATTGATTTGCTATAATAATTCTTGTTAATTATATATAGTAAATACAATTTATTTCTTAGAATTAAATATTTTATATAAAAAAAATTAATATTAATTAAAACCATAACTCAAAATTAGAATCAATTTAATTATATTAAAAAATATTACGTGAAAGATTCTTTTAAAGTAATTTATAAAATTTACTTTAAAAACATTTACTTCTTTTTATCTATTGTTGATTGAAAGGATTCACAGGTTAGGCTACTTAGTGCGCCTAATTGGAAAAGCAGCAATAGTATAATAATAGTCACATGTAGTTATAGGAAAGCTTAGATAGTTTATTTTTATATTATGACTGTTTATTATTGTATATTTTGTAGTGTGAGATAGTTTCTTAGTGAGATAGATAAGAAAGTGGTAATATAAATAGAAGCAAATAATAAAATCGGTTAATTATCAAAGTGATGGCGCGATTGACGTCACCAAATAAAATTATTACGTAATCAACTTACTGTATCTTAAAAAGTATCGCCGTTTGTGATAGAATTGTTCTGGGAGTCGCTAGAAAGATTGTGACTCGAATTATCTGGGAGAACATTGCGAGATAAGGATGGGAACACTGTTAAGAAGGATAGACGTTTGACCAAATTAAACCCCACTCCCCTAAAAGTATCCACGCAACACTATATATGCAAATCCGATTAATGATATAAGTAATACAGCGCATTGATAAAAATAGCTTTAATGATACTAGCTGTATCAAATATTTAAAGATCAATAAGTTTTTGATTATATATTAATTTAGATTTTAAGAGCTTAAATAGCTTACTTGAAAATGAAGGTAAAGTAGATGGGAATAAATTAGAAGGAATGGGAATGAAGTACTTATTTAAATATTCAGATTCAAAGGTCACCCACAACTAGAATTACAGCTTCCCAGCTGAACTCTGGGGATTTATCGAAAGTATTGTTACAGAAACATTTGTTTGACACCTCTAGCCCTGCGTATATAATTTTGTTGACTGCAATAATTTATTCACATATCAACTGTTATAGGATATTTTTCATTATGCGGACCATTCAGACCTCTTACGTTGCAGTACACACCATCTTTAAAATATCAGAAGTATCTGGTGTCGTTTTTGAGATTATTAATGCTTTCTAATTTTTTACTAATAGGAAGTAGTTAAAATGGAGGAATTTCATTCGAATCCAATGCAGCAGCATGCTTTCACTCTCTACATGCACACTAACACAAGTCATATTGCAAGTTAAATTGCTTAGTCTAATATAAGCTTTAAGATTATCTTGATTTCTGCATGATCCTGAGTCCATTAAAACTTTATCTGCGTATGGATTGCAGGAACATGTTTTCGTGAGTCCATCTAAAATATTTATAGATAATTACGGCGCAGGTGTGTGATGCGATATCATGTAACGTCACCTGATGTAGTGAACGGTGGGAACTGTGGAAAAATTTAGAGGTAGGAGTTTCTAGAACAGATTAAAATGGTGGAGAATGTTAACATGTAAACAATAGGCGCATGTATAAATATATGCGCATTGAGGAGAGGGTGGGAAATATTTTTAGAATAAGGTTTAAAAGTTAACTCTTACCTTATTTTCTCATGTACCAGAAGTGCTTGTAACTTTCACTACGCGACTAAGAGAGAGAATCAAGATTTTTGCTAATGGAATTGGCATTCGAAAGGTTCTAGGTTGGTCGACAGAGATGCTAGATTCAAGACCGATCAAATCATAAGCGCGCCTAAGAATTTGAATATGTGAACACTGGATACACCTGACGTTTACATAGAGAAATATTATTGGTTGGCGACAGACTCTCTGGAGCCTACGACAGTGTCATTAGCTAAGTTATCTTTTATAAAGCATCAGAGCGAGGGATTCTTAACTCATCTTTTCTGTTCAAGTTTCCTACACATTCTATCTTAGTTATATTAATAAATAATGAATAGAAAATAAAATAAAGTAACAATTTCCCTAGTTTATATTTTATTTTTACAATTCTAAGTTTTGTATCAAGTATTATGCGGAAAGGAAGATTTTGAGTCATTAATTAATCATCTTTTGAATATGTCGGTTTATAAAATTTAACGAACAAGAGAACAGTTGCTAATTTATACATTAATTATAATTCCTATTATATGATTATACGAAAATTTACTGATTTTTGTTGTCTGTATTTTTTTAAAAAAATTCCAGACTAAAATTTTGTTTGAGGTTTTTGTGCCTTTTTTATGACGCAAGAAGGGCATTTTTTTAAAAATTTTTTTATAAAAATATTGATAAAAATTAACCATAAAGTATTTAATTTTTCATGTCAAATTGCAAAGTTGTAAACTATACTGTATATTGTGTATGTTCAGTATCAGTTGCGGGGCTTTAAAATCATAGTTACCTGATACGTTTTACTATTAACCTCATATGCATTTATTGTATACATTTATTATAAAGAAAAAATAATCAAACTTTTTTATGCTTGAATTCACATAATTTTTTTACATATCTTTTTAAAAGAAGAGAACATGACCAATAAAATTATAGAAACGTTTATCGAGATTAACAAATTTCCAAACAAATATTTGTAATTAAAACATAATGAAAATATGCTATATAATATAATACACAAATACCTTTTATAATTGGCTTAAATGAATGATAAAAAAATTTCATTTCTTTCATAGATACAGATCGTGTTAAAATGAAGATTTAACGTAGAAAAAAATAATAAAATGCATTGGTTATTAAAGTGACAACATAAAAGTGTAAAAAAAATTCTTTGATATAATAAATTAATAAACATATATATTAACAAAGATGAATATTAAAAAATATAATATTATACATGTATCAGCAAGCTCTTCCGAATGTATATAAACAAATACTGTATGCAGGGATTTTCCTATTAAGAACATTCTTTTGATACCAATTTTGTGATACAGTAATCAAAATTTGAGTTTTACTTTGTGTCATCAAAAGTCAGTTCAGCGAAGCTTCATCTATGAGATTACCAAATAAATCCATCGATTTTTGTTTGTACTGTATTAAATCCTTTTATAGTACTGTAATCGGCAGCTGTTATGCAAGTTGAAGCAGGCTAAACGGCGAGTCCTTCATTTACTCCGGCTATATTTTCGTGAGACCTACAAATAAAAATACTAATGGTCCATATAACTTTGATCGAACTCTTGTCCTCTGTAAGTTGATTTAAGATAAACACATACTTTATTAAAGAACCTTTGTACTGTATTTTTCTCGAATTAATTGTGCAATAATAAAAAAAAGGATAACTGTTCTAAAAATTTTATTTAATTCTTAATTCATTATTAAATCTTTTTTCACACAATGACTTGTTTTATCCTAATCTATCTACAATATCTGCAAATATTAGCTTCAAAAATTATATATACCAGTTGCGAACTTCTAGATTTATTTTCTATTATTCTGTTATGCTCTGGAATAGTTATCGATCACATGCGGAACTTGCAAAAAGAATAAAAATATAAATAATAAAACAAATTTAGTAATACTTAGAATAGCAATGAGATTACTGAAAATATTGCGCGATTTGCCTTTAAATCTACAATTATATATTTTTAAAAAATGTTTTTATTTATTTTAATTGAAATATCAAACCACAAGTTTTATAAAATTTTAAAATAAATATAATAAAACTTACGGGTTGATTTTTAATAATTTATGAAAACAAAAAAATACTATTTTAAAAAGAAAAAAAAAATTATGAATTTAAGTGTGCCATGCTAGTCTTTTTATTATTTGATTATTAAAAATGTGATGCACCATTGAGAAACAACAATTATTTGAACCGAAAATATTTTCTAAATTAAAAAATATATACTGTATATAATAGAAAACATATGATACATTATACAGTATAAGACGCATTTTCAATTAATTAATTAATATAAAAACAAAAACTAATTGAAGTCTATTAAAGAAGCTTTTTATATTTTAAACACATAAGCGATATCAAATTTGAATTTACATACGTAGCATAACATAAATGTTCAAGGGCTAGTAATACTAAAACAAAATTATTTGCCTGCTGTTTCTAGCTGCATTTGCGAATTTTTGCCTGCACCCACGTCTGTAAATTAATTTTCTGGATTTTTCGTATTAATTATTTCGGTCAGATTTTCTGCTCCCTCATTACCCGATACTGTTACTATTTCAACCGTCTCTGTTGGCTCTTTCGTTTCAGTCGGATTTTGTGATCCCCTATTACCCGATACTGTTGTCTCTTTCGTTTCAGTCGGATTTTGTAATCCCCCAATACCCGATACTGTTGTCTCTTTCGCTTCAGTCGGATTTTGTGCGCCCCCAATACCCGATACTGTTGTCTCTTTCGTTATAGTCTGATTTTGTGATCCCCCAATACCCAATACTGTTGTCTCTTTCGCTTCAGTCGGATTTTGTGCGCCCCCAATATCCGATACTGTTGTCTCATCCGGTTCATTCGATGGTGAATTTCTTATCAACGGCAATAACTTGTTTCTAATTAAAAAAAGGATCAGAATGAAGATCAAAATGCCACCAATGACAATGGCTGCAATAATACCAACTGTAAAGATTTAAAGGTCAATAAATTAATATTGTTTTTTTATTATTTAAATTTGAGAGCTTGTAACATACCTGATAGCGAAGACGAAGATGAATTAGAAGGCACAGGATTGGGGGGTACTTCGTAAATACTCAGAGCCAAATGTCCTCCGCAAACTTGGGAGCTATTTCCACCACAACTAGAACCACAGTCTTCCGAACTGAGGGCAGTGAAGCTATCGTAAGAATTGCCGCAAAAACATTGAGTCGCCAACTCTAATCCTGCATACTTGTAATTTTGCTGACTGCAATACTTTATACACGTATCTACAGTCATATGCTCTTCCTCATATTGTATACCATTTAAACTTCTAACGTTGCAATATGGGCTATCTTTAAAACAACCTTTATAACTGGTGTCATTTTTGAGACTATTCAATATATCTAATTTTTTATTAATAGGAGGTAATCCACCTGAAGGAATTTTGTTATGAGCTAATGCCGCGGTATAAATTGTGTATGCTTCTTGTCCACCACAATAGTAAGAATCGTTACCGACACAAGGGATATTGCAAGACGAATTACTGGTTTGAATATATGCTTTAAGGCCATCTTGATTTCCACATCGACACTCGCTTCCTCTTATTAAAGCGCTATAATTGAAAAGGTAGTTGGCACAAAACATTATACATAACCCTGGGTCCATTAGAATTCTGTCTCTGTCAGTGTATGGATCTGAGAAATTTATTTTCGTAAGACCATCTAATGTGTCATTGGATAAGTTGTCTTTTATAAAGCATCCGAGCGTGTTGGTTCTCGGTTCGTCTCTTCGGGTTAAATTTCCAACACATTCTGCTTGGACTTGATTGATGTATAATAAAAATAGAAAGAAATAAAGTAAAAATCTCAGGTATTTCATTATTAATATTAAAATTTTAAGTTGGTAAATTATGCCCAAATATCGAATTTTTAAAATTTTAAAGAACTTGGTTCATAGTCAAGGAAATAATCACCATTGTTAGCATAAACGAAGCATGCCTATTATATAATTATTCAAATTATTTGTTTTATGAGCACTATTTTTAATATAATCTTATCAGTATGCGTCACTCCTTGTATTACGACAGAAGAGCATGTATACAAAAAAAAATAGTGGACATTTAATATACCGTTACAATGTACGTTGTGTGCATAACACACAGTGCTATTGAGGCATAATCGCTTTTATAATACTTTTATTTATTATGCGAAGAAAGCATTCTTTATAACTTTTTATAATTTCTTTAATCCGTTCAAAAATCTTATGACCATCTATTGTGACACTGAAATCATTGTTAAACTGATTGTTACTTGAAGAAATAGTTGCTTTTATTATATCACTATAAATAATTTACTTACAGTATCTTTCTTGAAGAAACATGATTGAGATTTACTAGAGAATAAAAGAAATGAAATGCTTGAACAACTAAAATTAATTTAATGTAACTTATTGCTTCAGTTTTGTTGGTATTTAATTTCGCAATTTTTAAATGCTTACGCACGCCTTTTAGCATTAAATAATAACATTTTATTCTAATTTTTAACTTTAACATATGACAGACCACGCGTAAAAAATGAAAATCGATGGATTGAACTATTTAAAGTAATGATAGTAAAAAAATGTGGATATGGCTTGTGTATTTTTGCACAGTATGAGGAAGTAACAATTGAATATGGAAAGGCAATTATTGTTTTATGTACACATCAGACACAAGGTTCTCCGAATACATGCAAAACAACAAACAAATACGCAGGGATTTTCTTATTAAGAACATTCTTTTGGTACTTTTTTTTTTGCTACAATCGAATTTTAGATACTGTATATTAATGTACTAGGATTTTGATCTGAGTCATCAAAGCTAGTTTGATGAATGATGAAGGATCAATCGAGAAATTATCAAATACAAAATTTTATGTATAGTATGCATAAGGCTAAACGGCGAGTCTGTCATTTACTCCATTTGGATTTTTGCGTAAACCGCAAATGAAATTTAACCAAACAAAATACAAAAAACAAACAAGTAAATGAGGAATGCATAACTTTAGTCAATACTTCTTAGTCTCGCTAAGGCAGTTATACTGCAAAAAAATAATAACATTAACCGTTCTAAAGTTTTTCTTAATCATTGCTATCTTTCATTTTTTAATTCTAACCCATCTCTACAATTCGAAAATGTTTTATTTAGCTCCTTGTGTATGTCAGTAGCTATTTTTTTCAGTTTTATTTCTCGCGAACTGGCATGATCTTTGGTCAGATTACACAAAGCATGTGTTTCCATAGGACGAAAACAATACTGTACTGTACCTGCAGTACATGACACATTACATGAACGGGTGATTTTAAAGACAATTTAAATAAAATTTCAATAACAGAAGTTTTTAAAAAAAAATTATTAAAAATTAATGCCTATAGAAGGCAGAGTTATGACAACTGTATATAAACGATATATCAATTTTTTGGTTCTTTAGGGATAATAGTAATATTGTTGATTCCCATTGACATTATTAGGAGGAGCATGATAATTATTAGCCATAGGTTGGTTTTGATAGTTTCCAACTTCCGGTCGAGCTAAATTGTCAACATGATTAATAGGGCCAGGGGGGTGACCTTGATTTACTGGGGGTTTTATATTCTCATCTGGATGTGCTATTTCGTATTTCGCATCCGCATAGGATTGGCGCTGAAAGAGAAAAATGTTTTAATAAGAAAATCAGGAAACGATATAATATTATAGATATTATAATTACATTTTCAGAACAATACAACATAAAGAATTCGACTATTACTTCAGCAAATTTCTGAATATAGAAGAGTTATTAGATTTCATCCAAATTCGCAAATAACTTAAATTTAAAATTTAATCTCACCAGGAGAAACAAAGCACCAACTATATTTGTAAGAAACGTAATAAAATCAAATTGACCGATAGAACCGTGCTGTTGGAATACCAATCGAATCCTTTAAAAATATGCTTGTGAGATTCTTAATATATTTATTTATTCGGACTTATGCACTTCATAATATATACTACTCACCCATGCCTATCTATTATGGTATACGATCCATCGGAATTTAGTTCGTTTTGCGCAGCTTTATACTCATTTCCATCAATCACTTGAGGCAAATATTTATAAATAATTTCATCTCTCTATTAAAAATGTGTATATCAAGATTTGCGCAATTCGGAAAGAAAAAAGAATTGTTTATGAAAAATAGAGAATTTACCCGAAAACGGACGTTCATGTATTCAATGACTATGGCTATGACTATACCAGAAGACCTATATGTTTCTCCATTAGCTTTATCTGCTCCGGGTGCCGTAGAAAGACCTAGATTGATAAGGGTTTACTCAATGTATTCGTGTTCAGGAATAAAATATATAGATAGATAGATAAAAATGGTATCCTAACCATCCAGGTTTGCATTCGCAGCAGTGAGTATTTCTTGAACTGTGAAAATGTCACCATCGGCATTAGGGTTACTTTTCATCTATGGGAAGATACGGTATTTAGAAATTTTTATCAAGTTGAGAATAAATCAACAAGTATATTCATTACCCTTGTTTGGTTAGTGAATGATTTAATTACGGTTTTTCCATTAGATGACATGAGTGCACCATCCATTAACCCATTACGCTGTGCTATCGATGTGGCTTGTCCTCTTATTGAATGCTCAACCATGATCTTATTTTCCAAAAAAAAAAAACGGAACTTATTATATAATAATTATTATTAGAAAACTTATATTGGTTAACCTTACTGTATAATCTTCAATGTCACCAATATAGGATTTAGGTAAAAGTACGTTAGGAGGAATAGAAGGTGACTTGGGATTGAAAAAACATCGATCTGATGGGTCTGATATGTTTAAGAAGCTTGAACACCCTTGAGGCAGTTGATAATTTGTAACGGATACTCTAGTAGTGAGGAATGCCACACCGGCACCATCACTTGGGTATTGAACTATGAAAAATATAATAAATCAATTTATGGAATTCGAATTCTAGAATATTGAGATGTTTGGAAATCACTAGTCACATACTATCATTAGCACCCCAATAGACGCAAGGAAGCGAGCCACTAGTGCAGTAGGTAGGTCGAGTAAGGGTCGTCGGAGCTTGTAGCGTGATTCGAACGGCTCCAGGTACAGGAAGTTCCTGGAAATTGATTATTAATTTTTCACTGGTTTTGTGCAAATTGATACAAATAGATGAATTCTCTTAATGTCAATACCTTTTTAAGGTAACCATCATTAAATATGAGTGTGTAGACTATATAAGCTAATATTGCAAGTTGAAAAACTCGATAAAGCGTCCCCAATTTACGACTGTATATAAAAATGGCACCTTTTAGACCAAAGTACTCATTATATACCACGAGTTTATTTTATTTAAAAACACTCACCTTTTAATTTTTGCTATCTTAACGGTTTCATAACTATGTTGGTAAAAAAGTTTATCAGGATAATTGACAATAAGAAGAAATTAACCCTGTAAAGAAAGTTTCAAACCCTAATATACTATCAATGATTTTTCTAATCATATTGGTATGAGAAATTCCAACTATGCGTCAATCGGTAACTAATGCAAAGGCTTTGGATTTAGAAATGAAATTTTAGGACAGGTGATGAATTTAAATAAAACCAACCTCCCCTCGAGGAATCCATACCAGTTAAGGTTAATTTGAGCCACAAATTTTGTCCTTGCGTAAGGAAAATCAGATTCGCATTCTGTGATACCGTACTCGCTTATATGCGGAAAATCATATTAGACTCCTTTTCGGTGATACTCAAAACACTTACACAGACTACTGCATATATCAGTAAATTTCAGACCAGACTTTCTTTTAGTGACACTGATTCACCACGTACAACATTTGATCAATGCCGTGGAAGGATTTTCTTCTAAAACAATTCATGCTGTCATCTCAAAATAGCATAATCATTTTTTTTTCAAAGTGTACTGTACTCAAAATGACAATTGAATTTAGAAAAACGACCTGATTAATTTTGGTACCATTGTATTTTGCATAAATCAAAACCCAAACTCGTTTGATTCGTAACCACATATAGAAAAAATTTTTAATATTGGTTATCATTATTTTTGACAAATCAAATAGTTGTATAAGGCTAACAATAGGTATACTGTGATGCACAATAAAGAGTAAACATATTTTTCAGTTAAATTGTTCGATAGCATAGCACAGTCTTTAAAATAAACCTACACTAGGTAAATGGAAACAATTTAAAGTCCAAAGGATTATCACTAACACATACAACATCCCTTATTTATACATTCCTTGGTTCATTTATCGTTTATACAGTAAATACATCGCACTACCATAACTATCAATCTCTATCATGCTAATTCTTTTTTTCGTGATGCGAAAATGCATCATGTAATCGTGACCCAAAAACTCAACTCCTAATTGTTCGAAGGACATTGATTGTATTAACTGTAAATGAGTTATACTGTATAATAAAAAACTCCGTTAAATTGATACTGTATGTCGCTATCACTTATGTATCACGTGATTGGAAAATACACAATTCCGACAAATTTCTAGCTTTGCAGTATACATTAAATTTCGATAAATTCTGTAAAGGTTGAATAAAAAAGAAAAATGTTAACATAAAGGCCTGGTTTGAAAACGCCATAAATCAGTAGTTACAGTATTTGTACAGTAATTTATCGCAACGGTAAAATAGATAATCTTATAAAAAAATTTAACAAAAAAATATGATTAAATTAACAATATAAAAATTACGAGATCATTTGTGCATTACCAGAGGCATTATACAGTATGTTGTGGTATACCGTAAAGTATCATCAAATGATTAAATAAAATCACATCAATTAATTATTTTAACCTGTCATTACATAATTTATAAATTATTGTTATGTTGAAATTTTATTAATACTATATACATTAGAAAAATATATACTGTTATTCATATAATTTTAATATATTTTTTATGTATACTGTATATTATTATATTTATTATTTCTTCTTATATTATCATCATCAATATTATTGTCTTTATTAATTTAATAATTTTATTAAAACATAAAAACAATCTGAACAATCTACTTGAACCTATGGTTCAGTACCCAATTTCAAACCATAATTCTGGTATTTACACAACTTCAGCTGCACCATCAAAATATACAAAAGGTGTCATTGCACATATAAAAGAACAAATTTCAAAAAATGACATTATTCCATTGACTTAAATAACAACTTGCTCAGGTATAATGGCTGTCCATCAAGAACCTTCTTTGCAGGTTTCTGTACAATGTTCTTTACAAGCATCTCAGTATACTTTCTATAGATCATATACAACCCTAACAGCCAAACCAAATATTATCTAAACAATATAATTAATAAACAGTTTATCACACTACAATATAATAAAAGCATTTTTCAATCCATTGACAACTTCTTCTTTTCTACTTACATTTCAGTACATCAAAAAATCAGCTTTTGCCAACAATATCACTTTGAACTTTACTAAAGTAAAATCTTTGCAAATAATACAAAAATTGATCTAATTAATCTAAAATATTCTCTAGACAATTTTCTATATATCATATTGAAATATTCTTTATTGTTATCCATTAAACTGTACTGTGAAAATATTAAAATACTTTAAGAAGTTTTTAACTATTCAAAAAAATAACTAAAATCCACTTCCCTTTAATAGTACTAAAAATTAATAAGTTAATATAGAATAAGTTAATTCAAACTATATACAGTATATCAATTCAGGTTTAATCCAAAATTCAACAATACTATCCAATAAATTAATTATTTACTTTACATTTTGAAAGCTTACTAATCAACAATTTACAACTTGGCAACAGTGTCAAATAGTACAAAAAAATTTTAAACATTACTAAAATATATATATTTGTAAAAGTTTATTAGTTCTAAAAACATTTAATCACATTTACAAACTGTATGGCCTTAACAAATCTAAACAGAAATATCAAAAATACAAAAATTAATAAGTATAATAATCTTATAATCTTTAGAATTAAACTAATTTTAATATATTTTCTATAAAAAAATTTTCACAAATTATATTTAAACCAATATTCAAACCTATACTGTTACAAATGTAACTTTTATATCAAAAATATTTAACATGTTTTTAAATGTCCAACAGTATTAAAAAAAACCAATTAGCTTATTAATATTATCAATAATATTCTTTATTATAAAGCTAATCACAAATCAATTTTATATACTGGCAGTTAACAGACTAGTTTATAGTATTATTGTTAATATATTCTCTACAATATTGTGAACTCTTCAGAAAATCTATATTACTTGTTAGCTTTTTGATTCATAATATAGTAAATTTCTAATTCTTAAGACATGTTTCTAATTTGACTAGTCTTTTATTTTAACTTCTCTACTAATTAGCTTAAATTTTTTCCATATTAATTTTTTTAAACAACACTTGGTTTTTTTTTTGTAATTATATAATCCAAGTTACAAGTTTTATCTTGGAATATTAAACACAAAATAAAAATTTATACTTAAATATTATTTATTGTTTATTACTAAGACATTTCTCATTATTTTTTAATATGCTATTAAATAGCATATATATTTATATATTTGTTTATTACTTATATATTTACAGTAGTCGACATAAAAATCCGGAATTTGATTTGATTCACAAAAAACCGCATAATGATATCAATTTTGATTCCATATAAAATTGGCATCATTTTTTTTATCAAAATCATATGCGTTATATTTACTTTTTTTCTTTGTCTGTTTCTGCACTTCTTAATAAAAAAAAACTGAAAATGTCACACGATTCTAGACTTTTGGCACAAAGAATGGTCGTAAGTGAGCTTTGGACTAATAATACACTGAAACCTGCTGAAATCATATGAATAACAAGTTTTTTGAAGACTATAATATACAACATTATCAATCGGCTTAAAAAAAGATCAATTGTCACACCACTTCCCATTCCAGGAAGACCTCAAATTTTCTTGTCTTCACAAAAATATTACCTTGGCCAGATTGTTCAAATGAATAATACTGCTATTGCGACTGAAATGGCTGAAAGGCTTGTTCAAAAAAACCCCAATACAAAGGTTTCTGTTCGCACTATCCAGCACATATTAAAAAAAACCTTCAATTTATTGTTTGCCATCCACTTTGGATTCTCTTATCCGTTCTTCTTACATCATTGCCCATTTTAAATGGGCTTAGAATCATGTCCATAACAGTTGGACCCACACTATTTTCTCAGACGAAACAACTTTCCAGATGTTCTGGAACACTCAATTAGTAAGGCATCGTCATGGAAGCCCGCGGCCATGCCATAGCTTAGTAAAGCATCTCTATAAAGTTCATACTTAGGGTGCATTTTCTACATAATGGTCAATTTCATTGTTTCTTTTCACAGAAAACCTAAATGCACAAAAATACTGCCAAATTTTAGAAATCCACCTGTTTCTTTACATCTTCCAACGAGACATAGGCTGTGTTTTCAACAATATAACACTCCAGTCCATATAGCGGATATTACACAAGATCTTTTTGAGACCCACCGAATTCAAATTCTTGATTGGCTCTCAAATTCGCCAAATTTAAATCCAATCAAAAATCTGTGGGCAATACTTAAGAGTAAGGTCGAAAAAAGAGTAAATGTTTGGTTAATGAAAAAAAAAACACTTTCAACAAATGAGTTTCAGTCAATAATTTATCAAGAATAGGAGAGTTTAGATTCAGACATCTTTCTTAGATTGGTGATGAGTATGGAAAACCAACTTTTAGAAGTAATTAAGTACAAAGGAAAAAAAATTAATTATTAAGCTTTTCGTATATCATAGTTATCATATTAAATAATATGTACACAAAATTTAAGCAAATAGTATAAATAAGTTAAAAATTTTTTCCTTATAGAAAAAAATTCTGGATCTTTATGTTGACTACTGTATATCTAATTATTATTTTATACTACTTTGAAAATTTCTGTTATTAAATATTTTTATTTAATATTTTTATGATTATCTTATAAATATATTAATTATGTAATATGATAACTTATTGTTACTATATCTATTTTTTATCTATAAAAATAACTTCTTTCTTTAATTGGATTAAAATATTAACTAAAACTCTAATTTATTTATACAAATCAATTTGAATACTTAATTATGCCATAGCAAATATCTTTTCTTTTATTGATATTAAATAAAGCAATAATTTTTCAATATTTCAACAAAAACAACTATAAAGAAGAACATCATTAAACTTGAATTATTCAATAAATTCTTTTTTATTACTATGCAAACTTCAATTATTATTAATTTACTAATCATAGTAGCAAACTTTTATATTTAAAATAAATATAATTTTTCCAAAAACATTATTAAACTAATATCTAATCACTTTAATTTTCTTTTATTCAATATAAGTAGATAGTTTAAACTATTTATTATATTTTGATAAGATTTATTGTTTTAAAATTTTTTTTTAATATTAATTGTGCAGCTATTATTGGCAAGCTAGCATTTAGCTTATTATATTGTTATATAAAAGAAATATTTTTTCACAATACATATCTAATATTATACAAATTAAATAAAAAAATAATATTGAATTGCAAAAAAATCAATTCATGAATCAATAGTATAG